GAAAGTTCAAACTGCTAAGCATGTGGAGAAGTCTCCAGCAATCAATTGCCTAATCAGTGAATCAGAGCCCTGGCAGGCAGCTACAGGATTTTGCAATCTGTACTTCTGCATGGCGTAAGGCTACACCACTGCCATTAACTAGCATGGCCTTGCCTTAAAGAAAGGTGCTCCCAAGTCTGTCAGACTGCCCACTACAAAGCTGCATGGGCTTGAGTGAGACACATTTCCATAAAGTCCCTTTAAGCTGGAGTCTGTTGGTGTAAATTCAGTCTGGGGATTGTTTCATGTGCATTGATGTGGGGCTGTGTCCACACGCAGATCCTACATGCAGAGAGTCACCAGATTCACCATTTCAGGTTTGCTTAGTTTTTAGATGCTGTAGCTTTGGATTTCTAAAGTAAATAAGGTGTCATAAATGGCTTTATGGACTATGTAGGAGATGGTGATGTGAGAGCATAGGCCACATGCTGAACTGATAGAAATTGCAGGAGCTCTTCTGAAAAGCACAGTACTAGATTTATTTTTAAAGATCGCTTTCTGGCTGGTCTGATGGTTTCTCTCCATTTAAATACTAAGGTGTTTTCCTGTACCTTCAGCATTCATCTCTAAGTCGATTGCCACAATTGCTGAAGATGGATGTTCTCTTTAGTAAGGCTGACTCGTGAAAGGCAAATTTCGGGTGTAACCAGAGGAAGTTCCCCTGTACTGGACATTCTTTCAAATTGACGTGTTACTTTTCTTCAACAGGTTTGGTAGATACAAGTGTGAAAAAGGGACTACAGCTGTTCTCTCAGAAAATGTCGCTCTTTTGGAAATTGAAGTGGTGGATGAAACCGTGCAAACAATGGACACTTCCTGAGCTGTCGTATATGGTCTTTCTGTAACACTAGACTCTAGTATTAGGCATGCTTTGGTTTATATTAGAAACCTTTCTGCATGACAAGGAAGCACAAATCAATATCAAATAAATGAGTGCTGACCAGTTCACTCGCTCCCTGTTTTCCATGCTGTTGATTTTTGCTGCTTTTCTGTTTCTTACCTGATGAAAAAGTAAGGCTCACACGGAACTGAAACATCTCCTTTGTACGTTGAATTGCGATGCGCTCTCATGGCCCACAGCACCATGTGTAGCACCACCTACAGCTAGCTGGGCTTTCCCCTCATTATAATATCAATGACTGGTCTTGCTCTGAACTTCTGCATTGAGAAGACCTGGGGAAATACTGAGTGTGGCTGATTCCTTCTATGTATAAAGTGCAGTTGCTTATCTGTTAGTTCTCAGTTAGCTGAGATGTTTCTTCTAGGCTTGGGTGGTACTTTGCATAGGGCTAACACTAGGGCTTTTTCACTACCTATTACAGGCCTTTGTTTTCCAGGAAGGCATTAAAACGTGTGAAGTTGTAGAGGCTTGGCCTTGTGGAGAGAGGGCGTAACAGGTGCCTCATCGAGCGTGTTGTGACAAGCTGATCTAAAACTGATCAGGCTGCTTCAGGTGTTGATCTGCACTGCTCAAAGGTGATAAGCAGGCAAGCTACTCACTGTACCCTGGCCAGGATCTCATTGCCGAGGGCCTCAGTACAGTGTGGATGGATCAGCCGCCTGGGTCCAGACTCCCAGGCCTGGGTAAACTGACTTGTTTTTGGTGTTTGATGTGAAAATGGAGTTTTCATAAGCCAGCCAGCCTCCATACTAAGCCAAGGGCTTGGCCATACTCTGCCAGGAGGTGCTGAAGGGGTAAACTGAGCTGAAACCAGGCGCCTGACTTCTCCACTTCCCAAACTGGGAAACTAGCTGCTGCTGGTCTCTGGGAGCTTTGTTGGGCTCTCTTTCCATAGAGGGGTAGATTTACACCACATGACACTGCCTTCAAAAATGCCTCCCCTGTGTCCTGCTCAGCTCACCTAGCTTTAACTAGCCCATTTCAGGGTAAGTTGAGTCTGATGTATAAAGTATGGGCATCTACTACCTAAGGTCACCAGTTGGAAACCAGTTTTGTGCATGCAAGAAAATGTTAGTAGCCAGACTTTTTGCAACACTCCCGTAACAAGCGGGTTGCTTAGCGCTGGCCTCCTTGTCCCATGTACAAAGAAAGTCGGTGATTTTGTAAATCATTGTTTTATTTATCTAAAAATGCACAGTTGCAAAAAGTTACCTGTTGAAATACATTTACTTATAAGCACTAATAGATTTTATGTAGCAAGAAAGTGACCAGACTGATAGAGATGCTCAAACGCCGTGAGCCCTCCTGACAGTCAGAGAACTCCGATTCTATGTTACACCCACAGAGGCGTTTGCACAACCTTATCTATGAATGTGTAGTTGCCACTAAGGTTTAAAGGAAACCTGCAGTGTAAAGGCAGTGATTCATAGCCTGAACTACAAGAATAAATGAACCAGAACCTGGGTTCTTGGTAGTTTCTCAACCGCTTCGCATGGGAATGTAGGGAGGGTCCTAGCTTCTCCCCTGCGTTCTCATGCTGATTTGCATTTCCCAGCTCTCAAACGAGAGCCCAGGCTGGGCTTCCTGCTAGGAAGCGTCAAGAAAAAACGGCATCTTCCATTAAGTGATACCAGCATCATTCACAGCAATTAATACCTTTTCTGTTAAAGCACTTTCACTTTCAATCAAATTTCTAAATGCTGATCTGAGGTGTTAAATTGGCACTGCAGTTTTCCTTTAAGTAGTGAAAAAAATCCATTAAGAGCATGTTGGCAGGTATGGTACCCTTTTACCCCAATTTGATTTCCAAAAGACTAATGGTTGTGTGGTTTTCTTAAAGAACAAGGGTGCCCCAGCACTTGCGCCACGTCACCATGGTGGCAGTAAGGCACGTGCCGCACGGAGGGAGCTGGGGAGCAGGACGGGGCCTGTTCCCCCGCTGTCATCCTTCAAGAATAGTAACTGCAGCACTGATTCCCTGAAAAGGCAGGTGAAACAGAAACACTTGAACGTGAATCCGTATGTTCAGGTTTTAAAGCAGTGAGTACTTTTCCTTGACAGTAATCATTGATTCAATGAATGAATTTAGTTGACTGAAAATTTTCATCTATTAAAAAAAAGAAAAATTAGTCTTTTTAAACAAGCTGTGTCCTTCAAATCAGGTTGCGTTTTTCAAAGAAATTCACATTTTATAACTTAGCTTTCACAGTTAAATAGGTATGGACTGATCCTCGGTTAGAATTTCAGTTGCGCAAAGAATCTGACTTCTTTCAGGCTAAATCTGATATCCCTGTTTCAGAGAGGTCTAAAGCACTGCTTTGCTTTCAGTTTTACTGAAGTGCCATTGGATTTGGTAATAGTCTCTTCCCCAAAATAAAACTGGCTTAGAGTAACACTGATTCATAATAAGGACTTTGAGTCTAACTAGATCAATGCCAAAGGGGAAACAGCTTAAAAAGATAAATTGCTTATGGAAGCAATGTTTTTCAGGTATGTGCTAAGGCCACCGCATTGGCTATAGCCAAGTTAACAGATAAATGCATCAGCAAAATGTTCACTCTAAATTTTCAATTACAAAAAAAAAAAATCTTCAAACAAATGTTCCCTCCTCCCCACTTCCTGTTTGCAAAGGAGGGAATTTAAAAAACACATAACTGGATGCTTTAAAAATATATGAACTAAAAACTGAATTTGCTATTAACCAGGTACAGAAGAGGCAAAGTAGCAGTTATACAAATTACACAAAAATCTACCGCAATTCTTACATTAGTATAAAGTGATTTCACTGAAGGAATTGTTTCAATACTTCACATTACAGTTAAGATAGAGGGGGGTGCCCCAAATGCTCAATGAGACACCCTTGTTAATATAATCTATCCTAGATTACACACAACAGTTAAGAAAGGACCCTTAAATGATCTACATCTGTAACATTATTGGCTTAAAAAAAAAACAACAAAACACTTGCAATACCTCACAGAATCGTCACTTTAAAGCATGACCACCGTGTAAGAGTCCTTGTCGAATAACCTGCAGAAATAATGGAGCATCTTGCTATGAGTGCTCAACTCTCTCACTTGAGTGTGACTAGGCACCGGTCGGTTTCATCTGAGAAATAAAATTCAAGTAAGACTAAGCTGTGATGGCTTTTCTTAGAGAGTGTTTGCAGATGCTTCAAGTGCTGGAGGTCCAAACATGCATCTGTTTTGCTATTTGGTGCACGTAACCGATGTCAGGCCTCTGACCCGGATCAGGGTATATGCACATGCTGACCAGTTCCCGGAGCTGGAAGGAAGGAAGGGAAGAGAGCTGTAAAAGTGTGATCCTCACACCTCGCCCGTGCCTTTTGGACAAGGGGAAGGGACAGCTGCCTCTGCTCAAGAGTGTGGGACAGGGCCCACGGCTTCTGCACTCTCCCCTGGCCCCAAGAACGATTATGGAGAAATCACGATCTATGTGCTGTCGTTTCCTTCCTGTCTAGCTTAGTCATCACGGCTACAATCAGGCCGCATCACCCTGCTCTTTACAATGTTCCAGTCCCCTATAACAAACTCCAGTGAGGTTGGTTATGCTGCCGGCTTGCGTAGTTCCCAACACAGATGTGCCCTGTGTAGCAACCGAGCGGTTCGACAGCTACACTGGACATTTTCTTAGCCAAAGAGCTAGAAATCTCTTCTAGAAATAGTGTTAAAAAGACTTGAAATCAAGGGCTGGATGAGTCAGAGCAGGGGGTGGCCAGTCGGAGGCAGATGGCTGACTGAGAGGAGTGTACCCGAAGGATGAGCCGCACTGAGTCATGAGTGGGAGGAGGTGACAGCGAGTTCAGCAGAGCGAGCGGAGCTGCAACAGGGTCCTGCGTGAGCAGGAGCTGGGGCATCGAGCACAAGGAGCCTCGCACAAGATCCAGACTCCTGGCCGGGGGACAAGGGGCATTTGGGCACAAGGAAAACCACCACCACTACAGGTTTCGTGTTATGCATGTGCCTGCAACCTTGCCAGAGAAGATGGCTGAGGAGGAAAGCTGGAGAGGAAAGCAAAATGTGTAATGTGAGAAAGTCCCGGTCGCAGCACACTTCTCTGCAGCACCCCTGCCTTGAGTCCTAGCAGCAAATCCGTGGCAATTAGCCAGCTCAGGATTGAATGGAGTTTGAAAAGCAGGCTAAGATCCTCGGATACAAGGCAGCAGAGTGGTAGCTGCGTGAGACGCGGCAGTGACAATGATGCACTTGTATACAGGACCGTAGCGGAGGAAAGGATGGGTCACTGATTATAAGTAATAAATAAAACGCAGAAGGACGGGAGTCTTCCCACCTCCCAACCCCCTTTATTGTGCACATGAAAGATTGTAGCTTTTAATTATACAGACACTGAAAGCTGCTCGTACCCCTGAGGCATGGGGAGAAAGAGCCTTGAGCCTCTGATCTTTCTCACATCCTCCCAGTAGCCACAGTGCCAATTATTTTAATGGTAATTAAAAGCGTGACTGTGCCGCTATCAAGCACACAGCTTTAGCTGCATTGCTGGGTTTACCCAAGTGAGCTTCTCACTTCTGCATGGAGCGAAGTCCTGTATTTGAAAGAGAGAAGTGGAAGTTGCGTCTCGGCCGGAAGGCGATTTCCGCAGGACGAACGTGAGGCCGGGGCTGCAGCCCGAGCAGAGATCGTGCACCGGCTCACGTGGCACCAGGGAAAAGCCCACCACAAGAGCGCAGTCGGCCAGTTTTGTTCCCGCTAGGTGCTGCTTGAGCCTTATCACACCGATAACTTAGGCGCTCCTTGCAGCAACGTCTTGAAACCCTTCCCCAGGTCATCTGAACACTCGGTTGCAAAAAGGCAGCGGTGAACTCCACAGATCCTTTGACCTGCTGCTTTCTGGGGGTAAATAAACAGCCTGGGCTATTCATTAGGTTTACAACCACTGACAGCTAACCAAAGACTTCAGGGGCACCCCAATCTTGAATGAGCAACCTGATGGGATTGTACTGATCTCAGGCATTGCAGTAACAGCAAAGGCCTCAGCCTCGTCTGGGCAGCCAGCGCACCATCATGTGGGAACACAAGCTGCTGGCTGGGTACGTTAAACTGCTTAAATCCAGACTGATGGAAAGGCAAATTTCCCCAACGACCATCACAGCATTAACGCAGAGTATGGGTATTCCTTTCACCCCTGCACAGGTCACAGATCCAGCCTTACGACGCACTGCAAGTCGGGCTGAAATGATCCCGTTCTTTCCAGCAGAGAAAGCTAGCAGTGAGCACAGGGCCAGCGGGCACTCCCTTTCTACCGGGGCAAGAGAAACTGCCCATCACCGGCAAGGAGACGAGCCCCCTGCACTGCTTTCGCTCCCACCCCTGGCCTTGGCTCCAGCAGCGCTGCCGCTTGGGTGTCCGATAGGAACGCATTAGTGCTAAAATGAACACGGCTCCCGCTGCATCAGGCCCAGTATGAGCACAAGGAGGCTCTCAGTCTGCAGTGGAGCCAGTTGACACGGTGAAATAAGCCCACATCCTTTCTCAGCCTGCGCGGAGCGCTCTGAATAGTGCATGAACACCATCTGGAGTCTAGTTCTCTGGGACCTGGTGCTTCTGAGCTTTAAACTATCCTTCTCACCCCGGATTGGATCGCTATGCTACACACACTCTTTAGCACTGCCAGAGGGAAGCAAACAGACAGTAATTGTAAAGACAGGAAACACATCTGTCAACTTACACTAATTCCTGCTGCCAGCAGGCATATCCTGAAGTGCATGCTACAGCAGCATGGCAAATGCAAACATAAGACCCCTGCCTCCTCACAAAGGCTGTCTGGAAGAACACACTTCCTCAAACAGTTTGCAAATCATTTTTAAGTTGGTTTCTGAGCAAAGAAGTAAAACCGCTTGGAAACCAGTAGCTGCTCTGCCTCGTCGCGAATATGGCGCCCGTTACAGCCAAGACCCGGCCGTTGGTGCGCGCAGCACTGCCAGCCTCCCGGTTACTGTTGTCTGAAAGTGATAGCTGGCTTTCTTGCCCAGACAGGACAACTGAGAAAGGAGCCTGTCATTTGTCACACGCTTGCCGAGTGACCACGTGGAGGGCAGGGAGGCAGTGAATGCTGAGACAGATGCTCTCCAGAAGAGTGGGAGGGTCATGCGGTGCGTTTCATCTGCTGAGGAGGCAGAATGGCCCAGTCCCACCTGTATAAGCTGCAAGGAGCTGGCCTTCAGCAGCCGGGCTATAGCCGGTCTCTGACGTCAGTGACGGGGGAGAGGGGAGGATTCCTGCGGTCCCTCGGGCCGAGTCTATGCTGCAGAAATGGACTGCAGTCACCCGGTGGTTCAAACACGCTTGCGGGACTGGCACTACCACATGCCAAAACGCTCCCACTGGACAGGGAGCAGGTTCTGGATCAGACCAGGATCCCGCCAGGAAAGTTCCCTCTACCCTGGGATTGCTTCATTTTAGTGTCAAGGCAGAGGGCAGCCACCACCTGGTCCAACAGCCCTGCCCCTTCACAGCCCCCAGAAGCTGCAGCTGACAGTGTGGGAGGTGTGCTGCTTGCGTGAATACTGGTCTTATCCCAGCAATGCAGGGCCGGGCACCTCGCTGCAAGACTCTTCCTGCTGCAGCACGCCAAAGGGCAAGGCCGGTTCTGGAACAGGAAACCCTCGGCAGTCTCCCATCAGCGACCTCACATGCTTCCCCTGTTGCTATCAGCACCTCTCCACCGTGTGCAGGTTTATGGGTCTGCCCCCTTTCGGGAGACCTACCTGCATCCACCCCAGGGGAGTAAGGGCCCTGCAGCCAGACTGGCTTTTTCCAGGAACGCTCGCCATTTCACAGAGGCTGCTGTATGTCACGGAGCCAGCACCCAGCTGCTCGGTTTTGTCTAGGACTATTTCACAACATCTTGTGCAGACCTGGCATGGTACCTTTCCCTGGAAGCCAAGCGCCTGCAGTTTGGAGGATGTGCAAGTTCACTGGTTGCCAATTAAAGTGCTCCCAACCCGGTTTAATTTGTTTTGTTGTGTCTGCTTTTTGCAGCAAGACTGGCACATGGAGGGAGCCCAGGGAAGGTGTGGACTACAGTGCTTTTAGTCATTTGGTGTAGAGACGCCTCATTGTTTGAAGCTGCAAAGCTGATTTCCAACACCGTTTGTTTTGCAAGTCTCCCAGTTCCTTCCTTCCCTTCCTGTTGCATCTAAGTAGGAGAAGTCCTCGTTTCCCCCACCCCTCGCTTTTTTATGCACTTTAAATGCTGGCAGAGGCACATCGGCTGTGCTCTCGCTTTACCGATGTGTCTGCAGTTTGCTTCCCCCCCCCATTTCCACTACATGCTGTAGCTGCCATTAGACAACTCAACACCCAAGATGTTCTGAGCATCGCTGCAGCGTCCTTGCGGCGACGCACCCTGGAAGCGTTGCAGACTGTCTGCTCGCCTTCACTGCTCCGTGCGCACTGACAGAACCCGGCACGCTGCCCTCGCCACTTCCTTTCTGGAAGAGGTGGTACGGAAAGAGCTGGCTGTCCTGGAGCAGTGCATCCCGTCTCGAGAGACAGGCTCCCCTGCAAGGCAGATCCAAGCAGAAGGTGTTCTGCGAGCTTCGAGTCGGGCTGAGCTTTGGCCACTCCCGTGAATGGCCCGGGACACGGAGAGCGCGGGGCTGCAGCTGGGTTTCAGCCTACCGCAGAGCC